AGATTTAACCATATATTATGGTCAAGCGTGTGTTCGTTCTGCAAATATCCGCACATTTACAGCTTTGAATTCACGGGAGTTTGGGGTGCACTCTTGCAGCGCCGATAAGTTGAAATAATTCATTAAATATTTAATTGTAAATTGAAGTTGTCAAACCAATGCGCCAGCTTTTGATTTGTTGCCTGTGATTCGATGATAAAGGCAAAAGATTTTTAAAATCGCTTTAATTAGTTTTGCAACCTAGTTTGAAAGTAAACTCTTTATTCTTTCCTTAAGCCCAAATTGTTCTCTGAACTTTAAGGATTTTCCTAATAACCCATATTCAATGAAAATCTTTCACCAAGCCTAATTCCTTTTCAATGAGTTTGGCCTGCCAGAAACCGGATTTGAGGCCACTGTTTTAGCAATAACTTGAGTGTGAGAACTTTAAGGATTTTTTTGCCCCTCAATTGCTGCAGACCTTTTTGGGCCATACGAGAGGCCACAGGAGAAGACTATCCAATAAGCAGCTCGAGTTGCTTTCATCCGGTTAAAAGAGGTTGCAAGGGGGAGGGGAAAAATAGGAGGGCAGGGAGATGGATCGGCATTGTGGCATCTCTTTTCGGTCAGCTGCAGCACGCAGTTCCTTTTGTTAATGATACTCTTGCTGGACATCAGCAAAAGTCCCGGCAGGAGCAGCACCATCCTCATCATCATCCTCATCATCATCATCATCATCTGTAGCAAAGGATGCCGGACCAACAGGATGGGAAGGATGACGAGAGGTGAGGCGGCGTAGCCGGGAGTAACTGCAAGGATGGCTCAACCATTTTGTGGATTTATTGACATTCTGTGATGTTATTAAAGTTGATTGCCAGAGACTGTGCACGTTTTTGGCTTAGACGAAGTGCCGGCCCTCGTCCGGGAAAAGGATCCCCTTGCTTCACCACATCCTGCTTTACCATCTGGGGATCTACCCTTCCACTTTCCCTTCATGGCTGAATGCAGCCCAGCTTCGCACACAAACAGAATGCAACCGACATGAGCTCACTGCGGTCAATTCGAAAGAAACAATAGCCACAAGAACATCCATTTCAAAGGAAGACAGGAAGGAGCTGATTTTAAATCCAACTTTGTGAATCGAAGTGGGGAATACTCTTGAAGAAATAATAATAACTAAAATCTATCAAAGAAATAAATTTGCCCTTGAGATCTTTAACTTTGCCTGTAGTTACATAATTATTATAAATAATACATTACTCATATTATTATAATGCTATACAAATTATACAAATTTTTTAAAATTTTTATATTTTAGAAGTTCAATCCAAAAGTCTTCTTAAAAAAATTAGAATATAGGTTCTTTTATTAAAAAGAAATAAATTATAGAAAAAATGAATAATATCCCATGAGAGGGTATAACCAGATGAAAAGAGCTTTAAGGTAGTCGCTTCAAAAAGGACGGGCGCATCATCATTGTCATCATCATCAAGTCTAATATGCGCATTATTGGTTTTGTCCTGTTTTGTCCCCGTGTGTGTGTGTGTGTCTGCTGTGTGCTGCAGTTATCCCTAATATGCCTTGCATGTTAATACGCTTATCCTGTCCCGGGGAACACACACAATAAAGGACACCCAGCGCACACTCAACATGCAAATATCAAATGCAAATTCTACGGCGCAATATTAAAAGTTACAAAAGAGGAAAAAATAAAATGAAAAATGCTCAATTCTCTCTTCCACTGCCTACGCACCACAGCCTCTGCCGAAATCCTTTTGATCTTATTTTTTAATTTAGCATTTAATTTGGTTTCTCCTCGCTGCTGCTGCTTTTGCTGCTGCGGGTAACACATGGCGTATACTTGATAAGTATAATATGAGGCCTGCCTTTGACTCTCTCAATTTTGCCTGATAAACTTATTAAAAAATGTATATAATATGTATGTACGGAAAGTGCCGGGACCAAAAATGAATTCAAATTGTGTTTGTGTGTTGTTTGTTGCTTATTACATTTTTATGTTCAAATTGCTTTTCAGTTTGCATATTAATAAAAATGTTTGCGGCTTTGATTAGGCTGAAAATTTAATAAAATGTAAGATTTAAGTTTTATGAATACTTATGACAATGACTGCTGGTGCCCCACTGCTGGTGCCCCACAAGCGCTTATAAATATTTTCCAATATTTTTCTTATATCTTTTCGCTTATAACAAATTTCCACAGATTTCCACTTTTCATATCGCCCTCTTACCAGCGTACACAGCAACATTTCCGCAGTTTGTCAACATGAAAAGGTTAACAAGGTAAATAAAACACGCCAAAAGGTAGATAGAGTACAAAGGGAAAGTGGGCAAAAAATCAAGGAACAAGGCCCGCAAACAATGTTGCAAAAGGGGCGCAGGCAAATCTTTGTGTCAGTTCACTGGGAGGCCTTTTTGTTGGTGGTTGGGGAGGGGCAAGGACGAAGTTGGAGGTCCTTTCGGCGGTTGGAGCTACAGATTCCCCTTTTCCCGTTCCCCTGCCCACTGTGTGTGTGTGAATAACAACATTTTAAACATGTTTGCCTTTTGCTTTTTTGCCGCGCGCGCGCCAGCGTTTATGCAATTTATTTCTGCACGTTCTTCGCGCCCTACTGCTCTTTTCCCATCTTTTTCCACTTTTTTTTTGCGCTTTCCAGCTCGCTTACAAAGCATGCCCGCCGGCTGGGCAATGTATAATCTTTGCTTGTCTTTGGCTTCATACCGCCTGTCGCTGGAGTTGAACTCTTGACTGGCACAGGCCCTTTTTGGGAAACACCCCGGGAACAGGAGAGGCTAAAGGGTATAGGCCACTCCTCAACTCGTTTGTAATCGACTTTCAAGGGAACACAAAAATCTGCAAATAAAAGTTAGGGCGGGAAAACAGCAGAATTTAATTTGAACATCTTTAGTTAATATTGCAAATAAATATTATTCTAAAATATCTTTTTGTAAAACCAACGAATTAATTCTCAATTTTTCAAGTATATGTTCTTTTAATATTTAAAATTTTTTTTTTTCTTTTAGATTTTTTAAAAGATTTTGAATTTATTTATTGGATTGAGGAGTTATTTAAAAAAATCAAAGCTGAAAGGTAAAGGGTATCTAAAAATGCACGTTCACCGCATTTGTCGGCTTTTCACCAACAATTTTTCTTCTGTTGTATCTTTCCACTCGCTTCAAAGGTGAAAAGGTGAGCTGAAAAGTCGCACTGCTGCAGGCGGTCAGCGTTTTTGATAGCGCAACCCAAAGCCCAACCAACTTTAAACTGGACTTTAAAATAGTTTTGCAGTTTTGCCGTTTGGCAGGGGAAAGGAATCTTGGTGCGCGGGCCAAGCAAAGTTTAAAGTTCGAAACAATGGCGAGCTTAACGTTGAGCCAGGAATACTTGCCCCTTCGGCCATCCGCCATCATCGACTTGCCACTTCCTGCTTGGTTATGCAGCTCAAGTCGCCGCGCTTGACACATTTCTCCTGGGACGCTCACACGTCCTTCGTCCTTGTCGTCCCTTCCCGATGTTGTTGTCCTCCTGCTTCTGCTGCCCCGGCAACTTGTCAACGCAGTCGTCAATGTCCGCGTGACAGCATCGCAGCATCGCCTGTAACTATGCCAAGCTTTTGCAATGTTCGCACATTTAGTCCAACGAGTCCACCCCCAGGTTAACCCACTGCAAAAATAGTGACCAAAAAATTGGACCTTCATAAAATTCGAATATCTTCCAAAAAACGTACATTTAAAAAAAAAATACCTTACAATATTAAAATCAAACGGTTATAAATTTTGCACGTTTATTTTCAATGCAAACTTTTGTTAAATTTTTTTTACACTTTTAAAAAAATTAGTTTGATTTTAAGTACCATCAAGTAAGTTTTGGGACCAAAATTAAACAATTCTAATATTAAATTTAATTGTGTAAAATAATTCTCAACTTCTGAAGGGTCTTTAGTGGGTTAAGCTGTGCTGTATGCCACGCAGTGGGTTACTGTGCCACTGACCATCTAGGGTGAGAAACTCTAAGCTGCAGCGACTTCTAACCAATATTAATGAGCAAATTCAGCAAGACGTGCGCCACATTTAATAGAAAATTGAAAATAATATGCATCCAAGTGATAAGCTCATAAAAAATGATGAAACAAAATTACCCAGTTAATCCTAAAGATTAATCCTTATTAAAGATTTATTTGAATAGGTCTTTGGCATTGATACGATAGATTTCTATTTGATAAAAAAAAATATGATTTCCTGGCTTCCGATTGCAAAATAATCACAAATTTGCAACGGAAAAAATCTTTTTAATACGTTTTTAGGGGTATACAAATAAATAAGTCGCTTCAACTTTGGGCCAGCTTTACTTTCACATGAACCGACATATGTGCGATTTAATCTGATTATTATTTGGATTACCCTAGATGTGACACAAAAAACCAAAAAATAGCAAAAGGGCACAAACTTTACTGCACGTGCTGCTTTATCCCGACCTCATCCTGCTCTTCTCTCCACCGAACTCACCCTTCCTGCACAGGGACAAATAAAGTTGTGAATCACCACGAGAGTGAAAAAATAAACGTCACGTGCAAAAACTTTGTTAATTTAAAAGAAATTTTCAAACAAACTCAATTAAATAATTTCAGGCACAAATAAAGATGAAAATGTGGTTGGGGTTGGGGGTTGCATGATGGTTTTCGTAGACTTTCATATGCCACTGCGGACACGGAGAGTCATGCAACTGCTGCTGCTGCTGTCTGGCAAGACAATTTTAATGCCACAAAATTTTAATTGAGCTAATCTGAAAAACCACAGGCTTCGCCTTGGCTAACGAGCCAGATGTCAGCTGGCAGTTGGCTTGTCTGTCTAATTTGCCAGCATACACATGTTGCACGCTGCACGTTGCAAGCGCAGCCAGTGAAGTGAAGTCAAGAGGCATTAGACTGAACATAATGATAATTGCTTTCTCGAAAAGATTAGCCCAGTTGGCCATGGAAAAAACGATAGTCCGGTGCAGCAGTTAATTTCCACACTGATTTACAAACAGATCAAACATTTGAAAGTAGCCGAAAACCACTAAAAATGGACGCCGATGAAAGCTTCTTGGATCAACGTTCGCTTATAATGGATGTAATGAGACAGCTGGATGACATTCTGAATGCCAATAAAATGGAGTATATATTTTTTTAATAATTTGTTTATAGATCCGCTTATCTTACTTATCCCACAGCACTGGCACCAAAGGCAAGGAGGAGAAAAAGCCGGAAGTTGATCCCTCAGAAGGTGTGACGGACACCAGTTTTGTGGTCTTCTTCCGGGATATTCGAAAGAAATCTTCGCGGCACTTTAAAAGGATCCAAAAGAACTCGAATACCAATCAAATCACCTGCATGAGGCAGATCGACACTTCGCCAAAGGATCGCGCAGAAGCTCGACGAGATCGCGAAGTAGTAGCAGATAGTTTTCGCAGGCGGGGATAAAACTAAAAAATATTTATAATTATGTAACTAACTTTATTTCGATATATTTAACAGATTGGGCAACGAGGAATACCGACGCACCAACTATGAAAAGGCCATTTATAACTATTCAAAGGCCATTCAGTATGTGTCCGATTCGCCAGTTCTTTATTGCAATAGAGCCCTGGCCAAAATCAAGTAAGTATCTTTAAAGTGGGGTTTTGAAAAGATCGATACATTTGACTATCGATAGTGGCCATCATCGATTTTAACGATAGCTAGAAGCAATAAACAAAAAATTACCAACACTAAGGTAAACTTATAAAATGCCCTTGCAAATTTATGATTAACTAATCGTTATCGATAATATCGATAGTGCCATCAAATATTTTAGAAACCCTCCTTTAAAGGGGTGCCTAAAAAAGAATAAAATATTAACTACCCCCAGAAAAAGAGACTTTAAACTGGCGCTTTTTGACCTGGACTATGTGATCTTCAAGCTGGATCCGATACACTTGAAGGCCTGGCTTTATAGAGCCGGAGCTCTGGCTCGCCTTAACAATGAGGCGGAGTCCAATATTGCCATTGCCAATGCTCGTCTATTCAACAGATCACAGAAGGACCAAAAGTACATTGACTATTTCTTGGAGAAACTTAAAACTGAATTCTAGAGCCGACAATCGATTTATGATTTGCTTAATTAATGCAGTTTTGAAATCAGTTGTGTTGTAATTCATTTGGGGAAGCCAATAAAAGCATATCAAGGAGAAACAAATTTGATTTCAAATTTCAATCAAATAACGAATGCATTTCCTGCCATTTCATTTGGTGTCACTTTCCTCTGCAGTTCCGCCCAGTTTTCATAAACACGAAAATTTGCTGGAAAATGTTTTCCTTTTTTTCCTTTATTTTTGTTACATCCACTACACAACTGCTAACACACAACTCTTTTTGTTGGCGGCAAATGAAATTTGCAATTTTTTGCATAAATTCAATAAAAATTCCTATTGTCATGAGAATATTTGCCAATACAATATACAGCCGAGGGGGATGGGCAGGGGGGTTGTGTTTGTGCCGCCCCCTCCAACTTCAAGCTGGGATAAGGGCCACTTATACGCTTCGTTGGGGGTTTTCCAGCCCCTGCGGAAAACCACAAAAGACTGACGCTGCGGCTGCAAATGCGGGCAATGGAAATCGGTGGGGTGGGGGGAAAATGGTGGAAAAGGGGGACGACTGAGCTTTCAATATGGCGCCAACACCATTTGCATTCCGCATCCCCAACAAGTCCAGAAGCAGTTCCAGTTACTCGGGGTCCTCGCCGTAATGAAATGCAGTTCAAATGCTTGGGGTATAAACTTTTGTCACAACAGGCAGCCGGCAGCAGGAGCAGTAGCACTAGCGCAAGGACGTGGCCAAGGGAATTGCAAGGGAGGAGTGGGGAGAGGGACATGGGTGGGTTGTAAACTAGCAAACAAACGCAACGGAAGTGCCACAAAAAGGGTTTCACTGTTTGTCAATTGTGTGCGGCCGCAGAGTTGACACCTAAACCAATTCCCGCAAAACCAGCCAAAGCAGCCCAGCAGCCCAGCAGCCCAGCATCCTGCATCCCCTGTTGGCCCAGTTGCTCCTGCCCCGAGCACCAGACTTGGTCAATCCCCTGGCACTACTGACACGCTAACTGACTGCGGGAGTGCACTGGCAAAAAATATACATATTTAGAAAATCTATTTGGAAAGTCTGTAAGCTTGTCAAATAATTTCTTCCACAAATTAAACGGATATTTAATATTTAGTTGATTGTAGTTGTAGTTGAATGCAGGTGTACAATTTTAAAGTAAAATTTAATTTGTAATATCTCCACAGCTATTTTATGTTTATTGTTCTTAAGAACAATAAAATTCTAGTTAGGTATTATAAGTTGAAGGCTTAAATAATGACTATACCTTTTTTGTGGTAAACAATTCGGATTAATAATACTAATTCCTAACGAAAAAAAATATTTTTTTTTAAATTTTGCATTTTACATCAAGGTTTTTGCAAGAAAAATGTAAGTTTCAGTTTATTTATTTACCTTTTTTCTGATTTTAAACGTCAATTGGTAATTTTGATCAAGTTGATATACTGATATTGTTTACGGAAATTAAAATTAAGGACTTATAGCAAAAATAGGAATTTATTCTTACAGTGAAAACTCCCCTGGAGACTATCTTAAGAAATGCAAAAATGTTTGTGGCTTGGTGCGGCTCTAATCAACATCAAACGGTGGCACTCCTGCTTTTGATGCTCGTGGCACTGCCTCAACGGCCGCCCATTTCTTGTAATCAATGCTGTAAACACTTATTTTTGTGGTTGTCACCGAGCTCCAACTGCAATTTGTGACCGAAACAGAGGCGAGCAGATAGAGGGAGATGGGAAAGTTTTCTTGTCCCCATCTACGAACATTGTCTGTTTGCGGGTTTTTGCCTTTGGAAACTGCTGGATTTGGATTTCGGATTTCTAAGCTCGGAGCTCGGTTGTGTGCCAGTTTTTGCGGTTACACTCGGGTCGAGGACTGTAAAGGTGACTTTAATGTCTACTTTATATGGCCAACAGCAAATGATTATTGCAGGTGAAGTTTTTAACTCGGGTTAAGCTCGAAGGCAAAACTTTCCTAATCGAAGTAGATGAAGAAAGTTTCGGATTCTTAAAGTGATTAGAGGAGAGGGCTTAGTAATGTTTTTGTTGCGGTCCTGGATAATGTAACCATTTTTAGTGTTCTTGTTGGCCATAAAACTTACAATCTATATATATTCCCCCAATTTTTAAAATATTTGTAATGGGTGTGAAAAAGCTAGAATTTATATAACAAAATATTAGCTTTTATATTTACCTCCTTTATTATTAACTTTACCACCTTTCCCTACCCTAACTTCCTGAAAAACTTTCGTGTCTCGTGTGTGTCAGTCACTTTGATTCCCTCACGTCCTCTAGTCGACTTCAACGAGGATCTTTATGAATCACACTCACCAACTCAGCAGCCATCTGCGTCAGACTTTTCCGCTTTCCCGATCCCCAGGGCGGACTTTTCAGCTGGCTGAGAAGTTTTCCCCGAAGGATCGCCGCCCATAAACCCATCGGAAAAAGTACAACATGACCCTGGGTTCCCAGTTCTTGTTTGGTTCTTGTTTGTCCGATGGTTTTCAAGTTGCGGTTCGCGGCGGCAGCTTCTTGGCCAGAAAGTAATTTGGCCTTTATCTGTATTGCGGTTTGAACAGAGGGCCAACAGCAGCAACATCTTTCGCTCGGTTTCTTGTTTTTGTTGTGATATCCTACTGTTGGTTTAGCATTTTTGTTTTTCTTGTTTGCACCACATCCGGGACTCATTTTGGTTGTCTTTGGTTTGAGGCTAAAATTGCAGTCCTTCGACCTTCCCCTTCCGTTTTCCCATGGTCTTCACCCCCTCGAATATCATCGCCGTTTTCCTTTGGGTGGGGAAAACTTTTCATTTTGGGGGCCCTGCTGTTGCTGCTGTTGTTGTTGTTCTTGCTGTCTGTGCTGACATTTGCCTGAATTGAACTTTTCGTTGCGTTGGGCCAAGTTTTTCATTAAGCGAAAAATATTCCTTGCTTTTTGTTTATTTTGCATTCATCTGACATTGACTGTCATTTGGCCTTTCTGGCTGGCAGTTCATTTAAAGTTTACGCAGCTCGCTTTTAATTAGCATCGAGATTTATCTAGGTTCGCCTCCCAAACCCCTGGTTGTATCACTAGAATCCCCCATCGATTGACACTTTCGGCTCCTTTATTGAGGGTTTATTTGCTTTGCTGATTTCGATTTTATCAACGAGTGGCCAAAGGAATTTGGAATACAAACAGCAACGCAGCCATCGAAAGGACAACAATTGGGAAAAAAGGAAAAAAACAAGAGGGAAAAACCCATTGAGGAATGCCTTTGGTGGTAGATGTGAAGAACTTCTACAAACAACTTGAGTTTTTTGGGGAATAACCAAAGGAAAATATCAAGAAACTAGAATGGTAAGAAATAAAGGAAAATATATAAATAACATAAATATTTTATAATTACCGAAAGAATTACAATAAGATAAGAACTTTCGCATACAAAATATAAGATAAATATTTTTTAATTACCGAAAGAATTACAATTCTCCTATTTACACAAACCCTGAAACTAACTTCTTTGTTAAAGGTAAATTCGAAGAGTAAACAGAAAGAGGAAAAGGAGTTTTTAATTATGTAAGAAATGGGATAGTTACAGTTCCCCGATATGAACCTTTCTCTGTGTGGAATACCATCCATTGTGCACTCATTTCCCCACTCGCCTTTCCTTTCCCCCTTTGCATCCCTTGACACTGCCGAACTACCTAAGGAAATATATTCACGTTGCTTTTTCATTATTCATGACAACTGGCTCTTGGCCCTCAAATGCGAGTATGTGCGAGTTTGGCCCGAGGTGGCTGTAACGGAGTCTGAGCAAATAATACAGATAGAGATACGGGAGCGGAAAAAAGGGAGGGATGCCCATAACAAATAACAAAGATGACAATAAAAAGCAGCAAAACAATTTCCCCATAGCCACGAACCAAACAAAGGGAAAGCGACAGAAAAAAAGGGAACTAATATTTTAAGAAAACAGAAAAAGAGGGGAGAAACTTAATCGTATGTGTGGGTGGGTTGGATGGTTCGGTTGGTTCTTTGGAAAACAGGCAACAGTTTTTCCTGCTGCTACGCAAGTGGCCGTCATCAAATTCAAGTGACATATTTAGACAGCCAAGCGACTCCCAAGGTGAAGGTGCTGCAGGAGCAGCCGGAAAAGCCGTTGGCAATTTCCCGAGTCTAGAGTCTAGCCACCATCGAGGGTGGCTCTCAGAAAGACAACCCCCAAAAGGGAAGCAGACAGTCGGGGGGAGAATCCTTGGACCGGGACAAGTTGCTTTTAATAATAAAATCATTGAGCATCAAAGCATAAAACTCAGTCAAGTGCAACATAAGCTTAAAGACCAAATCGTGATGGGGCGAAAAAGCGAAAGGGGAGTGCCTCTCTTACCTTAATGGTGGTTACCTCAGCACAACCCTAACATGTGTGTTCGATTTTCCTCTATCTATAGACGGCTATGGGATATATATATAACCCTCCTCCTTTATTCGTTGCTCTTGAATGTGATTTAATGTTATTTTTACAGCCAAATTAGTTGGCTTTTGATGTTCGTTTAACTTTGGCTGCTTTAAGACGCAGCCACAAAGGAAAAAAAGCCAGGAGTGGCATATAAAGAAAAAAGAATAAAGAAGCGGGAATTTACGGCAGATGGCGGGTGGCTGCAGTCATAAAGACGATCCACAGCTGTGTGCGGTTGGTATCTTTAAGAGGTACTCTATATGTATAAAATACGTACATTCGAGTGGGTTACTGTTAGTGCTACTGCAACTGCTGCCTGGCATTAACTTTTCTTTTAGGCCACATTTTGATTGCCCCACTTTTGTTTCGAGCGCTTCTAATAACCGAGCAAGCCTTCAAACTCAAGTGCAATCGCCCCAAGCTGTTGCAGTTTGTATCTGAAAGCTTTCCACTCATAATGTGGCAGATGTTTGCCAAGTTTAAGTGTCCGCTTGTTCACATTTAGCAAACATTTTGATTGCCTCTCTGATTGATGAATGAGTGTTTTTTTGTGCGTCTGTTTTGTAACAAATAAAAAATGTGTAAATATAAATTGGCACTTGTCGAAGGTAAAGTAATGTGCACTAGTTTAAAATTTTACTTTTTCGGTTTTATTCAGGTTTAATTAAAATAGGTATAATTTTATTAGGCCGCAATTTGTATATCTTCTGGTCCTTACTTTGATAGATTTATCGTGTAATCGACATTTAATGCATTGCTTTTCCATTAGATATCATAACAGAATGTTTGCACTTAATGCTGATAAAATAGTTTCAACTTTAAAGATAATTGAATAATCCTAATCCGAAATCCGAACGGCTTTTAAGATTTATTATTAAAATAAAATTATTAAATTAACACTTATGCAATAAATAAATGAAATCACCCCGAAAACTATACATTTTTCATTACTTACGCCTTCTGGGCTACTTTAAATCAATCAAACAAATCGCCTTGTAATTGGAATTAAATTTCTAACCAAGGCACTTAAGTAAACAACCCCTTCAAGCGATGTTTTGCTCTTAACAATTGAAATCCCCTCAGCAATTTTGCTGTCTCATTGGCCTTCTGCCCTCTCGATTGGGTTTTTGTACAAATTGTTAATTATTTCCATTGTACGAGCACTTGCTATGAAAGTTTTTGTTTTGTTTGCCATGCCTCGTTATGCCCTCTGAATTTGCGCTTCGAGTCTGTTGTCCTTGAGGATTTCGGGCATTTAATTAGGCGCAATCAAGTTGACATTTTAAACAATTTAAACAGGGCAAACACGAGGTTGTTTACTCCGCATTTTCCCCTCGATTTTCCGCTTTCCCTGGGCTGCCACCATTAAGCTTTGACTACTTTAGCGCATATTAAAACGCTTTATGGCCAAAGGCCAATTGCCAGCGAGTTGAGTGAGTCTGAGTTTCTTTGGCCTTTGGCGGAGTTCCTTTTTGGGCTGAAAATCGATAAACGAGAGACTTGAGTTTCCTCGTCCCTCGCTGCTATTAATTATGTCTTTTGCCGTTTTGTCGCATTGACGTAGGCGAAGCAATTAAGTTGCTGCTGGTGGTGGAAAAAAGGGGGGGAGTTTGTCCCAAGAACAGGGGTGGGGAAATGTGAGGCCGAGTCAGAGGAAATGAAATTTGGTCGGTGCTTTGGTCAGCCAGTCACATAATACGTATCAATGGTCAATTCCCCACTGGGCCCCACTTCGCATGTCCCATCCGTAGGCCAACCCCCAACCCCAAAAGTTACGTGACCAGCAAAATAATTCATATGAAAATTTAATTTGTATTTTTTGTTACTGGGGGGTGCATGGATGTCTGCTTTCTCTTCGGAATTGGTATCTAAAAAAATAATGTACACACAATATTGATTACTAAAATCATTTGCAGTAGTCCAGTAGACAAAGGTTGGTCGTGGAGTACAATTTTGCCAATTTATTGTGTTTATTAATACCCATCGAAATGTAGAAGAAAATTTTAAAATCGGACCATTGATTAAAAAGTCATGATCAAATAATGAAATGCAAGAAGTGAAAGCATTCCACTGCCTGAAGCTTAGTAACGGGTATCTGATAGTCTGATAGTCCGCTATTGCATTCTCTCTTGTTTTTTCTAACTATTCTGCACTGAAATTGAACAAAGACTGTTACTATTTATTTAGCAAAAAAGCATTTTCCCTGACTGAGCACAAAGCAAATGATTTTCATGCTGCTAACCGCATGTGAAAATAAATATTATTAGACCAGCCTACGCGATCTACACGTCCAACTTTCATCTGGTTTGAAATTTTGCATCTGAAAACATGGCAAAACAAGAAAGGAAGCTAGCTTCGGCAAGCCGAAGCTTATATATCCTTGCAGATCATTCTATTAATTTACAAATCGCAAAAATGTTAAATTTCTTATTATTTCACATTAATTTTTGGATCGTTTCTATCACAGCTATATAATATAGTAGTTCGATCTTTTAAAAATTAAAATCGAAATTCGGAAATATTTCAAAATAGTCATATCCCAGAGTAGAAGGAACTGTAATAAAAACCAACAAAGATATAATTGTTTTCCCATTAATTTCCATTTAATTTTTCGACCGTTCCTATGGCAGCTATATGATATAGTGATCCGATTTAAAAGACAAAAAAACCGAAATTCAGAAATATATAAAAAAAATGTTCCCAAGAGTAGAAGGTAAAATTTAAAAACACCGGAGCTAGAATTTGTTTACGTTTTTTTTTGATCCTTCCTATGGGAGCTATAAGATATAGTTGTCCGATCCGGTTGGTTCCGACATATATACTACCTGCAATAGAAATACGACTTTTACGAAAGTTTCATCCCGATAGCTTTAAAACTGAGAGACTAGTTTGCGTAGAAACGGACGGACAGACGGACAGACGGACGGACAGACGGACAGACGGACATAGCTAGATCGACTCGTCTAGTGATGCTGATCAAGAATATATATACTTTATGGGGTCGGAAACGTCTCCTTCACTGCGTTGCAAACTTCTGACTGAAATCATAATACCCTCTGCAAGGGTATAAAAAGGGAAAATTATTGCACATTTAGCAATAAACAGGCGCAGAACAAATGCGGTTTGGCTTGTTTTGGCTCTGTGTTTGTTTATCGCAGGGGATTGGCAAAATCGGGCGGGTTGTGTCAACAAGTTCTGTTTGATCCCCACGGCCGCAAAAGTATGCAACTCAAAAATTGTTACGCTTTTGATAATTTGTATATGGGTGGTTTTTTTTTGTCGTGTGTGAAAATTTGATTGCATGGACCGCAATTTGAATGATATTTGGTTTTTGCGGTGTGTCGACATGGATATTGGCAGGATATTGACGCTGTTATGGTCATTGGTTTTCGGTTTTTGGCCATTAAGTGATTTCTCCATCAATTCGTATGATTAGCATATTATTTATAATTCTCCCTAATTTCTTATGCTCTACTTGCCGAATGCCGAAAGCTAAAATTCTCATTAGCCCAACAATGCAGAAAATCGCCAGTCAAACTGAAATGCTCGGCAAATAGAGAGTCCATTGAAATAATTAACAGTCCGAGTCCGAGTTTGGCTCAGAAAATTTGCATTGGCCTCGGTTTAAGCCTGCTCCAACCGCACTGTGCCACGGTCCCACCTCCTTTTCCAGTGGACAACTTCCGGACAGCGTTTTAAATTTCATTAAATCTGCTCACTTCGTTTGCCAATGCAATCAACAACAGCTAAGAAGGGGAAGCCCCGCTTTTCACTTACACCGCCTCAAGTGCTGGAAATCTACTCAGAAGCCCGACTTGCTCCGCTCGTAGTTGCTCTGTCTAACTAGCCTGCGCTGTCTCTCTCTCTCATTCCCGTAAGCCCGTCTCTTTCTAGTTCTCTTAACCTTACCTAATTAAATCGCCTTGGCGAGGCTTTTACTGCTTAGCCTTTAATGCTCTATAAGTTGTATTAAATCAACTGACCGTTCAGCGTTAAAATTTTTGGAAACTGTTTTCAATAAACTAACAAATATAGAAATCATTTTACAAGTCTAAGTTTTGTGATAGTTCCATAAAATAATATGAAATAATAAAGATTACGGTAGTTACCATTATCATTTTTATTTTAATTGACTTGTAAAACTTGTATTCTTAGCTATAAAAAAGTTTGTATTTCAATTTTACTCAAGGGAAATCTTAATAAATATGAACTACTCTTCCAGAATATGTCATTTTAATTATACATTGTTGGTTAAAGTCTCAAGTATTATTTAAAATTCGCCACCAGTACGAAAACTTATTTGTTTAAGCTATTTCCTATGCTCGTTTAATGTTTTTATTTATTCGCATTTTATTACCGAAAGAGTAGTTGGTTTTTGTTCTTAAATAATTTAATTTATGCCATGGCTTGTTTTTACTGCGTTTGATCCACTTTACGCTAGGATTTTAGTTTAATTTCTTGCAGTTTCTTTTCAACTGTGTTTTTCTTCCTTTTTTTCCAGCGCACCTTTTTTTTTCTTTTTCTTTCCCTTTTTTTTTTTGGTTAGAAAAGTTAGTTGTGCGCTTTCGCTTTTCTCTAATTTCTTTTGCGCTATTTTTCAAAACCTTGTTTTTTCCTTATGCTCCAGCTGCTGCTGCTGTTTCTGCTGCTTTTCCAGCTTTTCCTGCTGCTTTTCCTCCTTGGCGCCCGCTCTAAGTGAAAAAGTAAACAGAAATCCATTAGCTTGGCAATCATTGACGGCGTCGCCAGCGGCACCGCATCTATTCTGCCCATCCCCATCTCCAACTCCTCCAGAGGTCAGTTGTCGGGTTTGCTGGGCTTGGGCTTGGGTTTGGGGGGATTTTATAAATTGCTGCCATCAAGGCATTTGTTCCACTTTTCCTTCACTTTTATTTCCATTTGCAGCCACCGACGACGACAATTTCTCCAACTAAACTTAAATAAATAACACAAGCAGCTAACTAGGGGGCGGAGTTGGAGTATATCCCTAATCGATGTCGATTTTATAGCCCAAATCGATGGAGGCCCTGATGTGCTCCTTCAGGTTGATGTAGCCATTACGCAGGGACTCTTGAGTTAAAAACTCCTTGACTTTTCCCTCGCTCTCGCAGAAGACCAGGTTGTCCGTGTGATCGATGAGCCGTTGCAGGTGCTCCGGAAACCTGAAGAGGATCAGCAGCGTAGAGCTGGAGGCATCTGCCTGGCGGCACAGATCACTCGATAGCTTCGATATACCCTGGGCAGCCGTGTAGTCCATCCCATTGATGCGCTGACCATCGATCACCACGGTAATCTTGAAGTCCGCCTGGGTGCAGGCCTTCAGGACGCGCTCCCGCAGATAATTGATGGCCGGGAAGTAGACACCGTTGCCCGGCGTCACCCGGATGTACTGCATCTCCTCCAGCTGCTCAATCTTCACCCGGATCTCGGGACGTGCCCACAGGTAGAGCAGGTGCAGGGCGGTCACCACAATGCTCACAAACAGGCCCACCTCCACGCCGAAGAGCACGCACACGCAGAAGCACAGTAGCCAGGTGGCAAAGTCGCGCTTCGAGTCGCGCCACAATCGCATCGGCAGCCTGAAGTCCAGCAGCGTGAATATCGAGCATATCAGGATGGCCGCCAGCGTCGCTTCCGGGATGTAGTTGAAGTACGGACTCAGGTAGCTCAGGGCCAGCAGCACGATAATGCCTGCACAGGGAGAAAAAAATCAGAGAAATTAGTAGGGTAATTGTTAAGCAAAATAAAGCACAAGGAATATAAGAAATGCCAATTCTTAAAAATTTGTGTGTACTCAAGAAATATGGAAAAACATTTAAATTGTAGGAAATAGAAGTCAACTATACGTTATTAAATCATTTAATAATGAACCTTCTAAAAAATATTTAGACAATATTTTAAAACAATTTAAAGGCGAATATTAGGTAATAAAAATATCTATGCAAAAAAAGAACAATCTTGGTTGAATAAAATATTATTTTACAATGCGAGGAATTAAAATTATTTTCTACAATTAATAGTTTAAAAAATGCCGGTACCATTGGTAACAATTTCTAAAATATATAATTTAATTTAATTCTTTGAATTTATCAACCAAATTTATTTATAATGTTTAGATTAAAAGAATTGTTGGATTCCAAAGAAAATATAATTTTTAAATTAATTTTAAACTTAATATTATTTTTTCTCGGTCTATAAAGCAGTAATGAAATTGATTTCTGGCTTCATGCCTTTACATTCCGCTGGACTCACCCAAATACAGATTGGCCATTGGAGTCCTGAGTCCACAGGCTGTGCTGATGGCATACCGGGTGAAGGCCCCTGACGAAGGCATCGCCTGCACACAGGATCCGAACATATTGCACAGGCCCACGGTGAGAAGTTCCTGATTGGTATCCACCAAACCCTTGGGAGCTGCAAATAAAATAAATATTAAATAAAATATACTTACTATTTTCTCCTTTTCGTACTCACTTAATTTTCCAATCGATATGTTCGTGAGTATGCCCACAATTGGAATGACTATAATGCCGATATTCAGTTCCTTCAGCACCTCCCAAAAACTGTAGCTACGCTCAGGGGTTACGATATTCAAACTGGGCACTGTGAAATTGGGCAGGGTGGCCAGGGCATTCTTGCTGAGGGCATAGGGAACTTGACCACTTTTGTGAATCCAAACATAGGAGACAATTCCGGCGATGAGTACGATCAAAGTATTTCTAGAGGTGGACAAGTATCGACAACATATCCTTAAAATTTTGCTTCGCTTCTCATTGTTTGCTACACGATCCAGTAGCTGGAGAAAATAAAAGATTATAAATATATCCTATTGATTTTAATTTAAAACTTACCTCCAATAAAAGCAGAAAAACAATGGCACAAATGCCAACCGTGAGATCAGCCATATTGGACTCTTCGATGCGGGAACTCAGCATTCCAACAGAGTTTAGAAGACCCGCCACTAAGTACTTGATGCCCAGCAGGACTTTAAGCTGAGATTCTATTACCAGGATGGCAGTGGCCGAGGAAAAAGCTTTAATCACTGGCATGGATATAAACTCGAAAATAAAACCTGGAAAATTAATTTTTTAAAATTATTTTTATAGATCATTTTTATAATAACTAAAATAGTTTATATAATTTGTTCTACAATCAGGGGGAAAATAAATCTGTATAAGTGGATTATAAAGGACAGTTAAGTAACAATCTTAGCTTTCAAATTTATACCGGTTTTTTCTGGAGACCAAACACAAATAAAATTTGCAAATTCCGGAAATGAAAGATGCTTAATCACCTGTATTTATTTGCCCTATCAAAACACCCACTCAATGTTTTCACGGATCTATTCTAGTTCCGTATACAAGTCCACACACATCGAATCTCATCCGAAGAAGTGTTAATTGAGCCAAATAGTGCTAATCACGGCCAAACCGCATAACAGTTATCGTGCAGCACACTCAATTAGGTGCTTAAAGCGAGCTTTAAAGCGGATCTATTTCAATTCAATTGGCTTCGGACTGTGACCAAGTTCATGGGGGAAGTAACACATGTCGCACTTAAGTCAATTTAGCAGTGAGATCACACGTAATACAGCTGATACTTAGACGCCATGCACTTGGGGAAAAACTTGATATCGTAAGAATATTTGTATATAAAAAATAAATTAATATTTTCTGGTGCTTCTGGACTTCCTGATTAAAAAAAAAACGTCATTACAAATTACCCGGAAAATTAAGTAGGTATGTGTCCAACCGATTTTCTGGTTGATGTTGACTAATATTTTATGTAATTTTAAAGAAGGTTTTTTTCCTGTCAAGTCTAATATTTTTCCTGCACTGCTTTTAAACTCACCCATTCGCATAGTGCCCATAATGATCTGCACAATTCCGCTGAGGAAGGTGAGCAGAAAGGCGAATTCGATGGGTCGACCCACGGTAAACTGCACACTGACCAGAGCCACCAGGCTAGTGGGTCCTATGATGACCTTGTCGATGGAGCCAAAGAGCAGATAGATCAGAGGGCCTATGAAGGCCGAACACAAACCATATCGGGCCGGCAGACCGGCCAACAAAGCACAGGCCATGCTCTCGGGTATAATTGTGAGTCCCAAAGTAATGCCGGCTATAAAGTCGTCGATTCCCCATTCTGTGGTGTAGAGCGGCAGCCATTGGAAGACCGGAATGTGGCGATGCAGGCGGCGTTTCCATTTGCTCGTCCTTGGAGCTTTTCCCGCCTCACTGGCGGGTTTACTTATGGCACCTGGTAAAAGAGCCCGCGCCGTGGCATTCTCCAGAGCCTCGGCTTCGGTTTCCAGTTGCGGATACATCGTTAGTTTAAGATAAGGACCACTTTAGTCAATCGCACACGTCTGTGCGCCACAAATCGCAACTGTCGAATGATAGCACCGGCCGAGATCATCCCACTGATAATGATCTCGCATCGCATCACAGATTGTGGACTGTGTTTGCCTTACACATCAGAGCCTCAATTGGCATTGTGACTTTGGGTTGCTTGGGTTCTCGCGCCTCGCTCGACTTACTACTCGCTCTCACTGGATGGGTGTGTTTTTGGGGGCTGTAATAAAATATATCTAGTTCAAACCCCCTTGTTGGATTGTTCATTTTGACGCCATCTCAATTATCTCGGACCTGTTAATTGGATAATATCTTGATTAGACGCTGGAAAAATGTGCCAAAAAGTCTGCTCGTTCGACGTGTAACAATTGACGATATCGCGAAGGTGTTAACACTTGGATAATTTATTAACCCAGTGGGTCAAGAAGGGGTGTATTGTGTAAAAACAAAGGATACTCGAAATTATTTATTTTCTTAGACTTTAATCTTACTTTTCAAAAGGGGTTAATAGCCCATACAAGTCTTGTCAGATCTTTAAAACACATCTAGACGCATTTCAAACAAATCACAATAAGCTAATATTTATTTAAGAAAAAAGTGCTAAAAAGTATAACAATTGACGATATCGCGAAGATGTTAGCACGTGAATTGTTTATTTGCCGATTGAGTTATGTAGGCTCCATATATCAGGTTAAATAAATGTGTAGCTATAGCAAAAGCGATAATGAATAAATTTGATAAAACCCAGGTTAATTTAAATTTTGTTAATAAATATCAAATTAATTTTACACTAATTCATAAAAAGTTCCTAGTGAATTTATCTTGTTTTTAATTTCAGTTCCGGTTACTGAATATGTTTATTTTTTTTAAAGACTGGGAAATTCTTCCTCTTTGCTTCAGGATCCCATTAATTTTTATCTACCAAACTTTTCCCTTAATTCCGTGCATAATTATTTATTCTTGCAAATTATTTTTACTTTGCCCCGAAAATGTTTGTTTCATCGCATTTGCCACACATGGCGAATGATTCATATTTGCTTTTCGTGACTTTCCCTTTTAATTTTATCACTTAGGTTTCACTCTCCTTCCAGTTCTGTTTGTCTAGATGTTGAGTTATGCAAATGTAAAAAGGCAAACTTTTCCGGAAAGCGAAGCGAGAAAAATTGTTGTATGCAAATTATTTTTATCAAAGCGTCGGGCGACACCCAGAAATGGTAAGGCAAATAAATGCCAGCATAATTTTAATGTAAATGAAAATTAAAAAGTTTGATTGACTTTAAACTTGTTCACATTTGTTGTGTGTCATAAGTTTTCAATGACAGAAAAAACGAATATTAAATTGAAAAATATATTTTAAATTACTCTTCTTTTGTATTTTGATTTAGAACGTTTAAAACATATATTTTCAAAGAAAATTATTCCTGTAATAAGTGGAAAACCATCCATCGTCTGTGGAAAAATAAAATAATTTAAAATAAAGTCTGTTAGCGATTACAGAACCAATTTGCAATTCATAGCTCGACTGTTACTGTTACAGCCTGACAACGTCAATTGTCTGTGCGGCAAGGTTATTATAAAACCAATCTGAACAAATCTGTTTTTAATCAGAACCGGCCATTTGTGCAGTGCGTGTCAGAAATATTTAAATAAATTGTCGTCCGGCGAACAGTTTACACTCACTCATTCGCCATTTGGGTTCGCGATTTGTTATGCAAACGATTGAAAAAGGATACTTTATACAGGCGAACAATTAGCGCTAAATGCGTTTGCGTAAAAAGTTTTGAATTTATGTAGAGGGTCGACCTTTGCTGGCTGAATTGCAGCAATGGCAGCACAAAATCAATTAAATCCAAATGCGGTGGGGTAAGGAAACCCCGAAATCACTAACTCGAAACAGACAGGCAGCCGAACTAATCGAATGTTATGGCAACTGCCAGACACAAGGGATTTTCAGACGCTAAATTTGTGTTCAAAATGGATTAGGTTTCGATGATTTCGGGCTATTAGATCCAATGATTAAGCTGCGGATAACTACACCGAAAAAAAACCTTGGAATAAGATGATGATCGATTTAATTTTATTTGGTATCAATTTTGACTTGAAATAAAATATGTCTTTCTCCTATTCATGTAACTCTAAGCGCTATCCCTATTCACGTAATTTATGTCGCCATATTGCTTATTGTTCCCTTTTCTGAAGTCAGAGAATCTCTGAGAATCCGAGAGATAGAAATCGGTATTAACCATGCGCATATCGATTTGATCCCGGCGTGTTTTTTTTGTGTGTACCCTTAAAATTTGCAACGCAAAACACTAAAAACATAAAGGTATTTATTTGCGTTGCCTTGACTCAAATTTTAAATGGTTCTCGGTAAATGTACTCACGTACTTTCAGCGGCAAGAATAGCTATTACGGGGCCAGCAAGAACTTTATAAAATTATGCACTTAAAGTTATTATTTGAGGCGATTATTGCACTTGCAACGGTAGAAGTGCAACAATGCACGATTGCACATTCAACGAGGAGTCCATATTTAAATGAAATTTTAAGTGCCTTGGCTGGTCTACAACCTACACGAAACCATCAAGTGCCAGCAGCTGTGCTCGCAAGCCACCCATCCACCATCCTTACTCTCCCCGACCAACTTGATTATTATTTCCGAGCACACTTCGTTGTGGCATTATTATAATGACTGTTGCAGCAAAATTCACAACGCACCTGACTCGAATACAATGTTTCCACTCGTTTCCACTGGCAGCAGAAAGGAGATGTCGAGTTGCTCAAAGTGTCCTGCCAGCTGTTGGCAGGCGTCCATTAGGCAAAGCCAAAAGGGAGATAAACAAACATCAGACACAAAACAGAAAACAGAGAGCAGCAGACAAGTCTGTCTGTCCAGCGAAGTCCTTAGACAGACTAAGCCGACATCAATGTCAAAAGGTTTTCGCCCTTCCCTAATGAAATTTATAAGCCTGAAATGCATTTCCGTAAAGATATGCGCTGGCCTTAAGTTATTGCTAATTAAAGTGGACTGGAACAGTTTTTAATTAATATTTTTGTATTTAATTGTTTGGGAAAATCAACAATGAGGGATATGATTGCTAATGATAATTTCGGTAGATCAGCATTTAATATATTTATTTTATTTATTTTAAATTAATAATAAGAAAGTTAACGATAGTATTTGAACTTTCTAGCCTATTCCATGTATGCTTGCAACCCAATAATTTATTATTTAAAACCAGCTCTCTTCCAGTTTGGTTTAAATAGCAAAAAAAAACCAAAGAACAATTATTTTAAAAATCAAATTACAATGAGCAGCAACCAAATAAACAAAGTAAGAAACCTTAAAAATCAAATTACAATGAGTAGCAACAAAATAAATATCCAATCTACTTGGCAGCAAATATAATTAAAATTTTATCACGTTACGGCGAACACCTGGCGGGGAAAATAAATAAGCGGGGCAAAATGCGAAAAAGCGAAAAAAACGAAAGGAATCATAAAAATGAAATTCAAAACTCGAAATTAAACGAAATTTTATTATTAAGTGCAGGCACATACATAAACATATATAAATTTTTATTGGGGCTGCGACGTGTGCGCGTCTCAAGTGCCAGCCTGTAATAATCCCGAGCAAATATTACGTATACGCAACGTGTGCGTACGAGTGTGCCTCCTAAGTTTGCAGGGGAGTGCCAGGGTGTTTGTGCAGCAGCATAAATATTATGGCCCACACACGTAGCTGCCCTCCAAGGAATCGAAGTGCTGGGCCGAGATGCCTTTGATTTTTAGTTAGCGCAACGCAAGGCCTCGTCGATTTTTGCCAATTTTGACAGCAACTCAGGCATTGTCGTCGCCGCATTATATCCGCCAACTGCCACGCCCACCTACTCACGCCCACCTGCCTACCGCCCACCGGGCGTCGGGAATATTGAAAATTGCTCCGTGTCTCCGGGTGCTGGTGGTGTTGTTGGAGCAAACGTGCCATGGATTTCAAATGAAACGTGTTGGAGCAGTTAGAGTGAGTCAGAAAAATACTCATACGCCGCGTGAGCCTAGCACATTTTTACGTCTCCTATTTGTGCACTGAAAAATAAATAACGGAATTAAATGTTTTTTTTTAAAATAATATACAAAAAATATAATTGGAATAAATATAGTTTTTGAAACGTTCACTCAAATTTTTTAAAAGAATCATCAATAAATCATTATTTTGTGATTAAAAAAAAAACACAAATTCGTACAAATTTTTATTAAAGTTGCTTCCCTGCAAGCAAACGGGCGATATTTCTATCGCCTATCGTCCAGAAGTCACTTCTTAGTAACTTCTGGAAGATAGAAACACGACAGAACACATTTTACAAAAACAAAATATACATCTATCGCGAAGAAGTCACTTCTTGGTCACTTCTGGACGATTAAAATACGATAGAACACATTTTACAAAAACAAAAAGGGTCACGATCGTGGAGAAGTAACTTCTAAGACACTTCTAGGCGATAGAAAGACGATAGAACACATTTTACAACAACAAAAGGGTTCAAATCGCGAGGAAGTAACCTTTGAGGCACTTCTGGGCGATAGAATGGCGATAAAACACATTTGACTACCTAAAAAGGGTTCAAATCGCGAAGAAGTAACTTCTGAGGCACTTCTGGACGATAGAATGGCGATAGATCACATTTGACTACCTAAAAAGGCTTGCGATCGCGAAGAAGTAACTTCTGAGACACTTTTGGGCGATGAAAAGGCGATAGAACACATTTTACAAAAACAAAACCAATGGGAAAAAAACATCTTCCAATTCACTTCTGGAAGTTAAATTGAAGATAGAAAGGAATTTGGTTTTATTTTTTTGAAGTCTTTGGGGTACAGTCCGCTCTTGGCTCTCTCTTTATACCTGAAAACTACCCTTTTTTCTCTTTGACCTACGCACTTTGTGTTTTGAATTCGAGCGTCAGTTCGTTTCGAGATTTCTTTGTGATCAGTGCGATTTATTTTAAATTTCTGTGAAATGC